AGCGGATGTAGTTTTGACCAAACAGAGCCCTTCGGTCTGCGGTCACCTACAATTTTAGAGAGGTGCACCAGAGTGTCTATGGAGGGGGCAGAGTGTTTGTGTTTTTGTTCACCGCGACACACACAGACGACCTCGTTTCTGAGTATTAATCAGCCTTTAAGATGGCCGACAGTGAGAAAAAGCTTTTTCTCTTTTATACAGAGTAATGCAGCCACTCCTCCTCTGTAACCTATAGCTGTACGCGCTGCCGCTGGATGAATCAACACCTCCCCACACTTGTAACACCCTGTCTTACAAGAAAAAAAAAAAGTGTCTTTTTTTAAAACAACTGATTGTGAAAACATATAAATCGAATGTGTGGTAATTAAAGTGACTTCGGTAAAACTGAAGTAGCTTAGTAAGTTGAGTATTTCACTTTTAAAGCACTTAAAAACTCAATCAAAAATGTGTTTATGTTCTTGCTCAACATGCTATCCTAAATAATTAACCATAAATAGAAGTTAAAGATACCATTATTATTACTAAAATAATCAACATGTATTATTTTTTTTCTGGTTTTGAATACAATTTATTACATTGCTGTGTAATTTTCTTTTTTTCTTTTCTTTTTTTTTTTTTGCAAATTATATGCAACTATTAAAATACTGGGGTGATTTAACTTAAGATCATTAGACTGGGACAATCTAAACCAGTGAGTATGAACAAGTGAGTATGTCATTGTTTACCATTTCGGTATTGTTTATTTGTGTCTTATTAAAGCTTTAATAAGAACAGTGAGTGGGCACCATACATTAAAAGGATGTGAGGGAACAAAAACATTAAAAGCTGCAGTGTGAGAAGCTTTGATGGTTCTGATGGAACAGGTGTCCATGAGAAAACAATGGACGCTTTGTTCTCACCTGATGACTGACTTGATTCATCCGTACTTCCAGCCCACAGCATGGGGAAGAAGAAACTTAAGTTTGTATTGGTTATGTCCTCTCCATCTTAAAAATATCTAAATTGCATGACTGAACATTTCTTTGAGCCCCTATAAAGCTTTAAAAATTAAATCATATCAAATTGCTTGTTAAATATTTATATTTTACAGATGTGCTTCTATGGATATGTAAAACATTTGCTGTTACCTAAATGTCAAATCCATAATGCCAAAAATAAGATGCAAAAACTATATAATTTGTGATTTATTATTTTCATGGTTACAGTTTGCATAGCTGTTGATCATAGGATAGAAAACCTTGCTTTGACTAAAACGTTATTAAAACATAAGGTAGATAAAGGCTTTGTTTTTTCTCTAATAGGTGAGATACAAGTATAAAAAAATAGTTTAAAGACAATAAAAAATATCCTTGATATACAAAAGTCACCTTAAGATTTGAATTTCCATCAGAAATTTTAAACTGGTTTGTTTCTGGGTTGATTCATTTATTGTTGATATGCAGTGATTGTAAATAGAAGTAAAATTCTTCAGCTGTTTCCCTAAAATGTGGCTTAATAGCTACACTTTTTGGCTCACTTTCAAAGAATATTACCCAGAACCATCAATAATAATCTAATCCACTGTTCAACAAAGAAGCACAGCCTCACAAAGATAACATCAAAACAATGGACTAGCCATTAACAGGGTTGTGGTATAAACACGGGCTCAGTCAATGAATGAATGAATGAAGTGCAAAATGAATGGCTTCATTACAAAAGGCAGCGTACATCTTTTAACATATGACCATTGCAGCAGATACTGTTTCACACTTTTACAAAACACGGATTCACATTAAAGCTTTATATTTAATATCACATCCCCTTTATCTCTGTGGCAGTCTGGCTTATTAAGTTATACACTGGAATAACTCATTTGTACGGATAGAGAAAGACAGCCGGCTGTTCTCTGTTGTTTTCCACTGGTACTCAGAGGATGGACAGGTGTGCTTTAATTACATCTATACATGGACCAAGGAAATGCACTGATTAAGAATGAGGCATTGGGGTTAAAGGGTCATTCAGTGGTTAACTGCTTCAAATAAGATACTGCATCTTAATTACTGTAAGTAAATGTTGCTAAAACTCAATTGCTAAGAACTTTACTGGGAAGTGATTTTCTGTTATTTTCCTGAAAGGACTGACAGCAGTCATGGTGGTCAGTATTTTCCAAATAGTGCAGCCTTGCCATGCCTGTCTCTTAACAGTAAAAGAATATCCGGATAGAGGCCTTGAAATGTGCTTTCGAAGCACTCACAGACTACAGCACCACTCACATCTTAATCAGTTGCAGCAGGGTGTCCAGTAAGGGAACGGTGTGGGTGAGCAAGTTGTTATAATTCAATAAACTGTCTCCCTCAGGCAAACCATATACTATCTGAATACAAAAATGTTGGAACATGTGAAACGACTAGAATAAGAAAAAGAAGGAGAGGAAAATAGGAAAACATTCAAAAATCGAATCCTCATAATTATGTAGTGAAAATGCAATCGGTAAATCTTAGACGTTTTTGTTTGTGTTGATTATCAAATGCCTTATCAAAGGTAGATTGTTTTTTGGGGCTTCCCATGCATACTGATGGATGGATGGATGGATGGATGGATGGATGGATGGATGGATGGATGGATGGATGGATGGATGGATGGATGGATGGATGGATGGATGAAGTGTGTTATCAAAAAAGGCCTGTCCATTTAATCAAATTCACAAAAGATTCTGATTCCTCAAATCAGAAAAATTGACAAAAGACAAAAAAGTCTATTATTAATAATAAAATATTTTAACATGTTTGTTCTGCTCTGCATGCATGCACTCTGTTTACGTTTGATCACTGCTGCACGTTATGGAATGGCAATGTTCATTTCACTGCAAAGCTGCTGCTCATTCAATGTCTGAAAGCTGTACAAAACAAAATTTTGTTTTGTATACATTCTTTGTATACAAAATGACCATATAAGGTGTCTAAGGTTCTTTAAGCAGACTGTTATCATAAAACAGTTAAAGCAGCTTGTGGTGGTTAAACTACATGAAAGACAAAATCTTGATTTTAAAGTTAAGCCTCCCACGTGCCACCTTTATTACGTACTGGTTTAATACAAAAGTAAAAAGTATTAATAAAATCGACTGGTTTTCCCTGGTATAAATGTAATCTAATTGAACAGATATGAAGAGAAAGCGCTGCAGTCAGCCTATATTTAATAACACCTGCTGATCTTATTTCTCCTCTGAGGGGGAAACAAACCCAGGCACAGGAGAATGTATATCTGAAGGCTCAATAATGCCATTTGTTTCTGCTGTTGCCTATATTACAGACTCTGTTTCTCTGTTTCCCCTCACCATACAAAAACAAAGAATAATTATCCAATATCCTAGCAGACATATTTTATCTAATACTAAAAGTCACTAAAAATAACTTTGATTTTGTTATTTTTTTGGCCTCTGCTTTGTTTCCATAACATTGCTGCTGCAGTTTAGTTATTCCCTTTAAGATGAGGACCAATAATTAATCTGAAAAGGGATTAAATTTAGTAATGCTCAAAGATATATTCAAACTGATTAGCAACTGATAATAATCAACAATAGAACATTTAAGCAATTGTTAGCCCTCAGAATACAATCAGTGCAACTTGAATATTAATGTCTATGCAGACATAGTCTGTTCCAATGTGTGATATGAATATTAATCAATTTGATTGAGCAGGGAAATGTGGAAATGCTATAAAAACCCCACTGTGAATAATACATTATGATTCTCTGCTGATTAATCATTTCTGGCCTTTTCTATCAAAATGTTCCACTAAGGCATGTTAAGCTGTCACAGACAAAGTGAGCTATGAGTACAGTTTATACACAAAACAGGAAATGCTTTATCATACAAACTGAGCCTGCCTTGCAGCCCCTAAAGTCACCAGTAAAAGGAAAGACATGCCTTATATGTGTGTTTTTTGTATTTCTAGACATAAATTCTGTTTTTAATTTAAGAAAAGCTTAAAAATATGCACACCAGCACTTTTTTTTTAAATCGGGTAATCTCCTATTGACACCCAACTAGCTCCATCTTATATCTGTATCAATCCAAATGAGCAAATGTATGAAACAGATTTCAGTTTATGGAGCTGGCTCACACTCCAGTTTTCACACAAGCAGACAGCTCGCTCATCCTCACATGCTCAGTCTGGGTATGTTACATTTTCAGTGCTTATGGAGAGAGTCACATCGTGCTCCCATTTACATCAGGTCCACTTAGTGGGAACTGAGCTCTGCAACCTGCAGTTCAGTTACAAGCTATGAAATATCTAGCCGACCACACTCTTTTATCTAACATAGATAGCAGAACTCATGTTTGGGCTGCCACATATAGGTCAAGTACTGTTTGTTTTAAACTGGATCTGGACACACGCTTGCAGCCACAGGCAGTTCTGCGTGTCGTCATAAAGTAAACCTTCACCCTGCAACTAAAGAAAGTTGTTTACCACTACAAACAGCCATCTGACATAAAAAGCAAATGGTTTGAATTCTTTCCCTCAGTACACATTGCTAGCAGTCTAATGGCACAGAATAATTATAGCCAGTGCCCTTTCTTATCTTTGCTCTGTTAGAAGCTGCAGTCAGCAGACTACAGACAACTCAGGATGTTTTAACTGCTTTAGAGGAAAACATTTCAGACAAACCCTTTTAGTTTCTCATGAATACTTAAATCAACTTTAAAACAGATGTAACCAGGACTTTACCAATCAACCAGTCAGCTGATTTCGCTCTCTTTGTGTGTTGTTATCTGTTAATTTAAGCAGTAAACATAATCAAGGAAGTAAAAAGGACAGTAATGATATAATAATTGGCTATGGTCTTGTTGAGTCACACTGTGGAGAGTGTGGCAACAAGTTAGCAGTAATTCAAACCTATTTTTAGCAGATGAAGGGTTGTTATTCTGGGGATGCCCAAACAGGGGGCATCTAAGTGTCTGAGACTGTATCTGTCCATCTGTATGTCTGGGTTTGTTTACCTAAACAGTGAGGATCCTTACCTTCTATGGATGGGGCTTGGTCCTGGGCTGCATACAGCATATCCTTGAAGGCCTGGTGAAGACATGAAAGTTAAAATGAGTGGCTGCAAATAAAATAAAAAATCCATAGGGAATCTGAATTTGTGTTTGCAAGGTGTAGACGTCATTTTTATATTACAGATTTCAATTTGTTTCATTAATCCATTCATCAAACATGTGATAAGACAAAGAAGCCTATAGGTGGTTCTAGGCAGGGGCCAACAGGGGCCAGTCCCACTAGAAAAGTGGTTTTTGCCAATTTTACATATATAAATATGTAATCCATTTTTTAAGATGATATATGCTAGGCACGGGAACGTAACTGACTGTTTGCTTCAACCACTTTACATTTTTATAGCTACCAATTTTTCATCAAATCGATCCGTTTAGACCAGTGGTCTCCAACCCTGGTCCTCAAGATCTACTGTCCTACAGGTTTTAGGTGCATCCCTGCTTCAACACAGCTGAATCAAATGAATGGCTTGAAAAGGTAATCAATCATTTGATTCAGCTGTGTTGAAGCAGGGATGCATCTAAAATCTGTAGGACAGTAGATCTTGAGGACCAGGGTTGGAGACCACTGGTTTAGACCGTACAATGGAAGGTTGGAACAGGAGTAGGCAAGCACAAATGTGCTACTACTGGCTGAGAGGAGTTCAACTTTTGGCTTTCTCTTTTAAAGAATGATTTAAAATTAAGGTGCACTTTAGCTATATCAAATATCACTACTCTTCTACTACTCTCTACTAGATTAAGTGCCACAAGTGGCACTTTGGATCCCTCAAAATATTAAACGATTAAATATTTCCTGATGTTTGTGTTTAATTTTTTGTTTTGTACGAATATGAAAAACCTCTGACCCCACCCTTGCCCTTCTGATAAACTTGGACCAAAACCGCTACTGAACAGGCCATATTTACATCAACTTATACAAAATCCAACTCAGTCCTGAATAAACGCAGTCCAATCATACAGTTAGATGCAAATAAACTTGAACCATTTAGCCAAATTCAATCAAAAGAATAATAACTTTCAGGCAAATCCAGTTCATAACTGTTGGTATTACATTTATAGTCACTAACTTAACACATATGTGCAGATATCTTCTGGTAAAAGTGTTTTTTTTCTCCTGCTCTGTCTCAAATTCTAATCATGCGTTATAAATAAAAATGTGTCTTTAAAATTGACATAATGACACCAAAAACCACTGACATGGACAGGGAGAGAACTTTTAATAACCGTTGTAGCCAAAAACACTGTTCCATCGTTCCTATGAAAAACGAAGCACTAGACCTGTGACAAACACCTCATAAAATAACTTAATAGAGTTTGAAAGAGTTGAAGAGTTTAATAAATACTTAAAAAACCGATAAAAAAAAAAAAAAAAACGGACGCAATATGGACAGAACTTTCTACGACCAGAAGACTAGGCTGAATTATAAGAAGAAGAAAAAAACAATGTTTGCTTAACAATAAAAGCTCTGAAAGTACTTTTCATGTAGTAATTAACTAAGGCTTTGTTTATGTGATGAAGAGGTACAGCAAAAAAAAAAAAAAAAAATTAAGTTCTTCAAATAAGTGAAGCAGTATCTGCTCTTTATCTCTGTCTAAGATAATTATTTTATTTTTTTACAAAAAAGCAGTGAGGAAGTGCTATGGGGAATCCTTTGTGTGGGTGGGCACCACTCATAAACATTAGCATCAGGCTCAATGATAACTGATACTAATGTCTCCTACAAAATAATTGCAGAAAGCAACTCTAGCTGGTTTGAGTCAGAACATTTGAGAATTCTGAAGGTTGGTTAAAAACTAGAAAATAGAAACCAATAAGAGGCAGGATACTCTGATATAAATCTGGAGAGCAAACTATGTAGTTTATATTTGGGAACATTTCTGAAGCCTATTCACAGTGTAAAATAATGACCAGCTTTTAAATGTGTGTAGAAATGTTGCACACTTAAAACTAAACAACAAATAAAATTTCACTGGTAAAATTAAACCCCTTCTTCAGAACTAAATCTTTCCAAATCCTTAAAAAAAAAAAGCAATGTGTTGAATTATACTGACCAACACATCTCCATGCCAGACAGCTATATAATCACATGCAAGTGACCCTTTCAAGGCATGAAGAGATCCGTGGCTCAAACAGAAAACCAATGGATCACTTAAAACAGCAGCTCCATGTCTAAGTGGATCTGTACATTAAGAGGAGTGGAGTGGATGGGAGGAGAGGCAGAGAGGAAGGGAGGAGGAGAGCAGAGGGCAGGCCTGGTAAGGGACCAGATGTCTTCCCAGTGGGGGAGGAACGACTAGGTGAGGATGGGAAAGAGGAGGAGGTATTTCGGGGGGGGGGGACTCACAGCAGTTGCCATGCCATGCATGTTGTACACATAATAATGATACTGTAGTATTTTGCATATGAAAAACACTCAGTGCTTAGACTATGTGATTTATGTAGTTGTTAACTGGGCCCACACGACAACAATCAAACTAATTAAGATAAAGACAAGGTACAATGGCCGACCTCTGAAATCACATCCATGTGTAGCTTATATCACGCTGGTCATTTTGTTTTTAAATTATAATCTGGAGTCATGATCTCCTTTCCTCCTCCTCATTGGGTTTTCAGGAGTAATTTAACTGAACATCCCAAAGCAGAAGTAGACCTTGTTGTCTCGCCCACACACAGAAATACCTACATGTCTTTCTCTCATGCTTTTTCTCACAGTGTGCAGCACCGTTAAGCAAAACACATCTCTATTCAACTGTTGCCACTAATTTTACCTTCCATGCTAGAATTAAGTAGAAAAGTAAAACTTTTTTTTTTCAGACCATGTTATTTATTTAGGGTAAAAAAAAATGCCTCTCATCTATATACATCCACTGCCTTTCTGGACGATCCTCTAGAGATGGCAGGACATGCCCCTACATAACAAACAACTGCTTAACATATAGGTTTATACCAACAATCCCACAGGATAAAGCTCACACCTAATTATTCCGTCGCTCAATCAGCTTGTCAATGTTCCCACTTTTGAATGAAGTGGCCACCAACTCAAAGCATTCTTTGCTAGAACGCTCAGTTTGCCGCATTTTTCTAATCTGCATAGAAACGGACTGACCAATCTACCCCGACTGTGTACATTTTTCCCACACAATGGAGCAGACAAAGAAAGAAAAAGAGGGAACAATGGGCAATCAATGACAGCAGACAAAAAGAAATAATACCACCTAAAACTATATTTAATTTTGATTTGGAAAGTTGGAATATTTGAAAGACACAATGAGATAAACCGGTGTAACTTGTCAACATCGTGCACTGACAAAAACACCTGTTTTTTGGGGGGGTTTTTTAAGGAAAGAATGTTGGGGTGAAATCTAAAGCTCACAACCGAACCGGAGTAATTATGTTTACTACATGAGAATACAAATGTTATTATATGCTTCAACGCCCCTGTAGATATTCAGCTTTCTAAACCTTTACCCATCATTGCTCCATAATTGAAGAAAAGCTCTTCAATCCATGTCTTTATCTGCTTGTTTGAACAAATATATTTATTTTCAAGGTGCGTTGAATTATTTGATTAAAACATCCATGTTCTGTACACAGCAGTGATGGAGCTGTTCCTCCCACTCAGGTGCTGATGGTGTTTACAGGTCAGACAAAGACTGAATTCCTCTGCAGAGGCACAAACACAGTACAAAGTCTTTCTCTTATATGATAAAATGAACCGAAAGCACATCGAGGCATCTTTCTTATTTAACTATTAACAAGAAAAAATAAAATATTAATCACTAAGATGTGTGCAAAGCCCGTGGATATTTAGCTTACATATAATAAAACTATGTAAACAAAATTCAAACATCTTATAAAATAAAAAAATAAGCATTAAACACAGAGAGAATGTATCATCATCCATGTCAGGTCAGTGAGCGCTTTGGCAAATACTGGAGGTGTAAAATGGCTGGTATGGCCATGCATCTGTCCCCATGCTTGGTCTGCTTCTATGCAAACATGTAGATGAAGCCTTTGAGTGCATGTGCGTAAATTAGTAACCATGTTTTAATATAACTCTTTGTCAGGAATAACCTCCTCCCACTACATTTGCTGATAAATTGCTTTTTTTTATAAATGCATTTAGAGGAGTATCTCAAGATCTATTTATCGCACAAACATGGCAGCATATCATTTTGCCTGAAGATAGAGAGCTCGCCATGCCTACTGTGGCGACTTTCAAACTTAATATTAATATCCAGAGCATGGATACCAAAATAACACTGCCGCAGAGACTTTCTGTTGGGTACGGGTTGTAGGTTGTTCAGGGTGATGAGAACAGGGTCTTTGTCTATAATTCATTGAACTCAATGGAACTGAGCAGCATGTCTGCAGCAGGGCTTCTCCGCTTAGAAGTAGGCTGTGAAAAAAATAACATGCTCCTCAAGTCCTGTACATCCCCTCAACAAAGAGCTTGTGTAGAAAACAAAGATCTAGCTCTTTAAATCTGCAGACATTGCTGACAAGACAGGTTATCCTGTTGATCAACTAATACAGGTGGTATTACAGAGACAACCATTATTGCTTAAATGCAACAAAAATAAAAAGCCATGTTAAATAGAAAAAAATACATATATATTTTTTCTGTTTAAGATAAAACAAAATTAAATAGAACTATAAATTCTTCAAATTTACAAATACCATAAATATTTTGATGAACAAAAAGTCAACCTTTAAGGTTCCATAAGGAAAACCATTTTTTTCTGCATTGTTTACAGACATTCTCTATAATATCAAGTTGAGACTAAATATATTGGGGGGAGAAAAAACACACCAAAAATAATAAAACTAATCAAATTGAGGGGGGCACCAGAACACAGTACCTAGACAACATATTTAATGAATAAATTGTGAAATAAATTAAAGTATAACAGTTTTTCTTTTTGATGTATCTTACTGCTTGCACAAACATAATGCAAAGAATGACTCAAATAAATAAAGATATTAGTTCATAAAAATTAAGAAGCTAAATTGTTAATTGCAGATGTTTTAACAGCTACCACTAATAAATGCTCCCTTTGGCTCCTAACCGCAGTCCATTCCTCCTCCATAAACAATAGGATATCTCTTATCTTTCCCGTCTTTTATTGCCCCCAAGTGAAGGCTAAACTTTAAAGGTACATTT